ATGCAATTTAAAGCATTTTTGGTTTCGATCATAGTAGGCTATTTTAAAAAAAATATCGATTTTATATCTATATTAGCATTCTTTATCATTTATAATACCTAGATATGTTTTAAAATGCAATTTAAAGCATTTTTGGTTTTGATCATAGTAGGCTATTTTCTAAAAACATCGATTTTATATCTATATTAGCATTCTTTATCATTTATAATATCTAGATATGTTTTAAAATGCAATTAAAAGCATTTTTGGTTGTGATCATAGTAGGCTATTTTCAAAAAAAATATCTATTTTATATCTATATTAGCATTCTTTATCATTTATAATCCCTAGATGTGTTTTAAAATGCAATTTAAGCATTTTTGGTTTCGATCATAATAGGCTATTTTCAAAAAACGTATCGATTTTATATCTATATTAACATTCTTAATCATTTATAATATCTAGATATGTTTTGTGTTTTAAAATGCAATTTAAAGCATTTTTGGTTTCGATCATAGCAGGCTATTTTCAAAAAAATATCGATTTTATATCTATATTAGCATTCTTTATCATTTATAATATCTAGATATGTTTTAAAATGCAATTTAAAGCATTTTTGGTTTCGATCATAGCAGGCTATTTTCAAAAAACATATCGATTTTATATCTATATTAGCATTCTTTATCATTTATAATCCCTAGATGTGTTTTAAAATGCAATTTAAAGCATTTTTGGTTTCGATCATAGTAGGCTATTTTCAAAAAACATATCGATTTTATATCTATACTAACATTCTTAATCATTTATAATATCTAGATATGTTTTAAAATGCAATTTAAAGCATTTTTGGTTTGGATCATAGCAGGCTATTTTCAAAAAAATATCGATTTTATATCTATATTAGCATTCTTTATCATTTATAATCCCTAGATGTGTTTTAAAATGCAATTTAAAGCATTTTTGGTTTCGATCATAGTAGGCTATTTTAAAAAAAATATCGATTTTATATCTATATTAGCATTCTTAATCATTTATAATCCCTAGATGTGTTTTAAAATGCAATTTAAAGCATTTTTGGTTTCGATCATAGTAGGCTATTTTCAAAAAACATATCGATTTTATATCTATATTAGCATTCTTTATCATTTATAATCCCTAGATGTGTTTTAAAATGCAATTTAAGCATTTTTGGTTTCGATCATAATAGGCTATTTTAAAAAAACATATCGATTTTATATCTATATTAGCATTCTTTATCATTTATAATCCCTAGATGTGTTTTAAAATGCAATTTAAAGCATTTTTGGTTTCGATCATAGTAGGCTATTTTCAAAAAACATATCGATTTTATATCTATACTAACATTCTTAATCATTTATAATATCTAGATATGTTTTAAAATGCAATTTAAAGCATTTTTGGTTTCGATCATAGTAGGCTATTTTAAAAAAAAATATCGATTTTATATCTATATTAGCATTCTTAATCATTTGTAATATCTAGATATGTTTTGTGTTTTAAAATGCAATTTAAAGCATTTTTGGTTTCGATCATAGTAGGCTATTTTAAAAAAAATATCGATTTTATATCTATATTAGCATTCTTTATCATTTATAATACCTAGATATGTTTTAAAATGCAATTTAAAGCATTTTTGGTTTTGATCATAGTAGGCTATTTTCTAAAAACATCGATTTTATATCTATATTAGCATTCTTTATCATTTATAATATCTAGATATGTTTTAAAATGCAATTAAAAGCATTTTTGGTTGTGATCATAGTAGGCTATTTTCAAAAAACATATCGATTTTATATCTATACTAACATTCTTAATCATTTATAATATCTAGATATGTTTTAAAATGCAATTTAAAGCATTTTTGGTTTGGATCATAGCAGGCTATTTTCAAAAAAATATCGATTTTATATCTATATTAGCATTCTTTATCATTTATAATCCCTAGATGTGTTTTAAAATGCAATTTAAAGCATTTTTGGTTTCGATCATAGTAGGCTATTTTCAAAAAACATATCGATTTTATATCTATATTAGCATTCTTTATCATTTATAATCCCTAGATGTGTTTTAAAATGCAATTTAAGCATTTTTGGTTTCGATCATAATAGGCTATTTTAAAAAAACATATCGATTTTATATCTATATTAGCATTCTTTATCATTTATAATCCCTAGATGTGTTTTAAAATGCAATTTAAAGCATTTTTGGTTTCGATCATAATAGGCTATTTTAAAAAAACATATCGATTTTATATCTATACTAACATTCTTAATCATTTATAATATCTAGATATGTTTTAAAATGCAATTTAAAGCATTTTTGGTTTGGATCATAGCAGGCTATTTTCAAAAAAATATCGATTTTATATCTATATTAGCATTCTTTATCATTTATAATCCCTAGATGTGTTTTAAAATGCAATTTAAGCATTTTTGGTTTCGATCATAATAGGCTATTTTAAAAAAACATATCGATTTTATATCTATATTAGCATTCTTTATCATTTATAATCCCTAGATGTGTTTTAAAATGCAATTTAAAGCATTTTTGGTTTCGATCATAGTAGGCTATTTTCAAAAAACATATCGATTTTATATCTATACTAACATTCTTAATCATTTATAATATCTAGATATGTTTTAAAATGCAATTTAAAGCATTTTTGGTTTGGATCATAGCAGGCTATTTTCAAAAAAATATCGATTTTATATCTATATTAGCATTCTTTATCATTTATAATCCCTAGATGTGTTTTAAAATGCAATTTAAAGCATTTTTGGTTTCGATCATAGTAGGCTATTTTCAAAAAACATATCGATTTTATATCTATATTAGCATTCTTTATCATTTATAATCCCTAGATGTGTTTTAAAATGCAATTTAAGCATTTTTGGTTTCGATCATAATAGGCTATTTTAAAAAAACATATCGATTTTATATCTATATTAGCATTCTTTATCATTTATAATCCCTAGATGTGTTTTAAAATGCAATTTAAAGCATTTTTGGTTTCGATCATAATAGGCTATTTTCAAAAAACATATCGATTTTATATCTATATTAGCATTCTTTATCATTTATAATCCCTAGATGTGTTTTAAAATGCAATTTAAGCATTTTTGGTTTCGATCATAATAGGCTATTTTAAAAAAACATATCGATTTTATATCTATATTAGCATTCTTTATCATTTATAATCCCTAGATGTGTTTTAAAATGCAATTTAAAGCATTTTTGGTTTCGATCATAGTAGGCTATTTTCAAAAAACATATCGATTTTATATCTATATTAGCATTCTTTATCATTTATAATCCCTAGATGTGTTTTAAAATGCAATTTAAAGCATTTTTGGTTTCGATCATAGTAGGCTATTTTCAAAAAACATATCGATTTTATATCTATATTAGCATTCTTTATCATTTATAATCCCTAGATGTGTTTTAAAATGCAATTTAAAGCATTTTTGGTTTCGATCATAGTAGGCTATTTTCAAAAAAATATCGGTTTTATATCTTTATTGGCATTCTTTATCATTTATAATACCTAGATGTGTTTTAAAATGCAATTTAAAGCATTTTTGGTTTCGATCATAGTAGGCTATTTTCAAAAAAATATCGGTTTTATATCTTTATTAGCATTCTTTATCATTTATAATACCTAGATATGTTTTAAAATCCAATTTAAAGCATTTTTGGTTTCGATCATAGTAAGCTATTTTCAAAAAAATTTTTTGATTTTATATGTATATTAGCATTCTTTATTATTTATAATATCTTGATATGTTTTAAAATGCAATTTAAAGCATTTTTGGTTTCGATCATAGTAGGCTATTTTCAAAAAAATATCGGTTTTATATCTTTATTAGCATTCTTTATCATTTATAATACCTAGATGTGTTTTAAAATCCAATTTAAAGCATTTTTGGCTTCGATCATAGCAGGCTATTTTCAAAAAAATATCGATTTTATATCTATATTAGCATTCTTTATCATTTATAATATCTAGATATGTTTAAAAATGCAATTAAAAGCATTTTTGGTTTCGATCAAAGTAGGCTATTTAAAAATAAACATCGATTTTATATCTATATTAGCATTCTTAATCATTTATAATATCTAGATATGTTTTGAAATGCAATTTTGAAGTGCGGGAAATTGACATTCAAAAAAATAAGCTATTTTTCAAAAATGAACAATCCAGGAATTTCTAATTTTTTTTCTTTCTGACCCCCCATTCTCCCCCCCCCCCCAACCTGGACTTCATAAATGAAAAACGCTCATTACTTATTTTCAGAAAATATCAATGAAATGTTAACATTGAAAACACATGTTTAAATTTTGGTAGATTTACAGTTTTTAGAGTTCTTTCGTTCCTTTAACAGCACCTTTAAGAACTCGACCTCAGATGTAAATTTGGAATTAGAAAGCTAAAACAGTTTGGATATGATGCTTTCCATTACGCTTAAGCAATCTTTAACATCCAAAAGTTTATCAAGAACTTAAAAATGACTGAACTATAAACTGCTATAACCATGGAAGGTTACCTATAAGCAACCTGAATTCAATTTACTTGTAAAATCAAGTCATCAACCTGCTTCTGAAAATAAAACTGCATTTTTAAAATTAATAAACGTAATTCTTGATTAGATCATCTGATTATCATCAAGATCAGATTAATAAGTTAAATCGCCTACTTAAAACGATCGTGCATTGACTAATCTAACATTAAAGTATATTATAGTATGTGTGACTACCCGAATGCATGTCGAAAATTTCTGTTTACACTCTCTTCCCTTTTTTCATATACATTTTTTCTTCTTCATGCCTGCGTTTACTCAAAATAAAAATCACAAAACAAAATTGAAAAGATTTTTCAGTTTTACTGAGAGCTTGAAAACGACAAGACGTGTATTCTCGTGTAGAAGAGCCTTAAGTGCTCTGATCGTTCAATAGAAAAACGTTTGAAGCTTATTATATATGAGAGAAACACATAAATTTTTTTCTATTTAGATAGAGAAGTATAAATCTGTAAACGAAATACGATTTAAACACTTGTCAACTTGAATGAGACAAATCGCTGATTATACAAATTCACATAAGAAGGATGAGAAAAAAAAATGTTTTGTGAAATAAGAAAGTGATTTTTTGATGTTTATTGACGGCAAAGATAAATTGTCGAAAAGCAAAGAAATTTGTTAACCGAAAAAATGAATAATTATTAGACATCAACTGTTCAGACATTCAGTAAATCACCGACAGTTGAAAATTTTAAGGTCGATTGTGACAAATTTTTAAAGAAAAACAATTTTTTGATTAATTAGAAATTTCCTTTGCGACTTCCGATTGATTCTAATAAGACGTGACTACATTGAACACTGCTCGACGAGTTGGAATAAAAATTCTGGGCATGAAAAAGTGATAAAATTGCAATATCTGAAAGACAAAAGTGTAAAAAGTGCCATTTATGGGCAGTTAATTAAACTTAAATTCAATAATAAAAAGAGAGAAAAACTGTTACACTCCAATCGAGAAGAGATATTAAGTGAGCAGTTACAAAATGTCATGATAATTGGATAAAAAATTGCAAATTTAATGATTTTAAACATTATAACATTGGATTATACCCGTCATGGATCAGAATGTACAAAAAATGTAAGTAAAAAAGGAATTTACCGCTAAGAAAATCTGTTTAATCTTTTGCGGCATAATTTACGGGCTTGATCTTTAAGAAGCATTAAGTTATAGCGTTCTTGATAATGTTTTATGCTCAATGGAGGGAAGCATGAATTAATATGAGGTATCCAAGATATACTAGATGAGATTTAAACTTATTTTGAAGATAAAATTTAAGTTCAATGTTGGCAATTCTTTCAATTTCTTAGACAATCAAATCTGCTTTAAAACCTATTTTCACATGTTGTTTTAGGAATCAAACAAAACTCGAGTACTTAAATCAGTTTAGAATCCCTAATCACAAAAAATCTCAAATGACCACCAAATTCCAACAAAATATTTGTTTAAAAATTCAACTCATGTCAAAGGATATCCCTTTGACTTAAAGACGTTATTGCTTCCATCAAGATAAACGGCATATCATTCACCTGAAATCTCTCCTTCTCAAAATTTAATTAATCGCATTTTATTTCCATTTTTTGAGAATAATTTCTCGTAAATCGTTGCATGTTTTATGGCTGTGCTGATCTTCCACGAATGTTTATCTCACATTCATCTTATTTAAGGTAGTATTGTTGATTGGGATGAAGAAACTGAAATTAATTTGATAATACTTAAATTAAGAAGAATTTGAAGGAATTTCACGACGACATTAATCGAGGACGTAAATTTTATTTGAGATGCGGCGATGGCAATCATTTTACTAAAAAATATTTTGTGCTTCATTGTAATTTATTTCTCTGCTAGCTCATTACGATGAGAATAAATTCCTCATGCTCTTCTTTCATTCGAATAATCTGTGAATGTTCTTAAAATGTCACGCTTTAGTTAAATAAAAATACGTTTGATAGTAAGTGACCATATGATTGAGTGTAAACAACAAATTTAGCTCTTGTTGTTTCAATTAAAATTCATGTATTTTTTGACTATGATGTATGTGCGTAAAATCACAATATTAGGCTATTATACTTGGAAAATGAAGCTATTCTGTTTATTTTAGAAGCGACTTGGTTGTCATTTTTGATTTATGGCATTTACTCTGATTTTCAACTGTTTGAACAAAGAAAGTAAAGGTCCGTTCACTAATTTCTTTTGTACAAAATCCACGACTCTCCTTAGGGGCCGTTCACTTATTACGTTACGCAAAAAAAGGAGTTTTTTCACCCCCCTCCCTCCCTTGTTACAATTTGTTACAACTCACAACCCCCCCTCCCCCCCCCCGAACGTTCATAATTTATTATATTTTTATAAAAATGTTTTTGGTGTGAATTTGTAAACAAATTTTTTTCGTGAACTTTTTTTTAAAGACAGATGACATTTAGAAACGTTTCATACTTCTTGACCCCCCCCCCCCCTATGTTACATTTTGTTACAATTTTTCAAACCCCCCTCCCCCCTAAAATGCGAACGTAATAAGTGAACGGCCCCTTACTTAAAAAGCGAAAGACCCAAAAAGTAAACAGCAAGAATCGCTATCAGGGATGTTGCCAGGAATTTGAAGAGGGGGGGGGGGGTAAATTTTTTTGTATGGAAAACTTTTAGGGGGGGTGGGGGGTATTATTTCGAGTTTTTCATAAAAACTCTAGCAAAATGAAGAAATTTCTCAAGAAGAAGTGGGATTTGCCCCCCAAATCCCCCCCCTGGCTACGCGCCTGATTGCTATTAATAAGCTCAAAAAATTTCACATTTCTCTCGATAAATAAAAAACTTATGAAACGTCAATCTTTGTTTGCTGAAAAGTCAACATTATAAATCACACATTGAATAATAAAAGAATCTCTCCCAAAACTGCAATAAAAAGATTTCATTTGTATTCCCACTTCAATTTAATAAAAATCAAAAATCGACTGCACATTATTTCATAAATTAGCAGTCAGCATATCAATCCTAAACAGCCATTTAACATTAGCTTAAAAATAAGGAAATATTAAATTCTTCGAATCGCTGATAAAACAATAAGAATATTATTTTTTCGAGGTTCGATGCACTGACTGTGCTGCATTAGTTGGTTGGTGTTTGTTATTAAACACTTTAATGTGGGCTGTATATTTATGGAATCAAAGAAGCAAAAAGTCTTGTTTATAAAATTTCAGTTGCCTAAATATCTTTTGAAAAAAAAATTGCATTCGATGCATATGATCGTCGTCGACATTATTATGATTGTCAAGCTAGCATAGCTAACTGCGAGGAATACCAAATGAGAAGTGAGAGCATGCGAGTCATAAATAATTAATAGAACGAGGGGGAATGAGAAAAAAATAAGCAAGTAATTAAGCAATGAAAGAAATTTCAATAAATTGTTGTTTCCTGTTTTATCCAACATTGCTTCTTCCTCCTCCTTTTCTTTGCATTTTCAATCAGTGGCGCAAAGTCATGAAAGCCACAAAAAAAAACATTGCATGGGCAATTTAAAACCACAAATTAATTAATTGTTTAAATTATTTTTACAGAATATAAACATGATTGTAAATGTAAGCGATAAACGACATCGAATGTCACGAATAAATTATTTCCATCTCCGAAATCATCACATCACCTTACTGTCTATAGTATTAATATCACTGATTCCACTAGTATTAGGAAATTCAATATGCACGCATCACGAATATTGGGATTCAAATTTAGATGAATGTGTGCCATGTACAAAATGTAATAGACATCAAATTGTAATCCGTCCATGTCAACGACATTTAGATACAGTATGTCGCCCGATCAATTCTGTTGACATTGATTGGAGTAAGTCTATGCTGATGGCGACTGATAGGACGACTCTTAAAAAGGTAAGAAATTTATTTTATGTCCAGGAAGCACCCTTTAACATAAACTTTCTGATTTATGTCCATAATGATTAATTCCATGATTTTTAATTAATACAGGAACATCATCGCGTAATGAGTACAATGGAATCATTTTCAGCCGAGGCGGCTGAATCAAGGGAAGAAGAACTCCTGTTGTGGGACTGGCAACTCATAACATTAATCCTCGCAATTATTGCCTGTCTCTTATTCTTTATTGTTACTGCAATCATTTCCATTAATTATGTTCGTCAATGGCGAAAAATCAAGAAACAGTTTGACACTGGTAAGTCTCATTTTTATTATATAATTTCTCTTCTGATTTATGCTTATTGGTCTCCGATCCGTAAAAAGTACATCGTAAAAAAACAAGATCAATATCATTGACATTATAAATGACACTAGAACATAAAAAGTTTAATGACAAAGAGGTGTGGAGAGAAGTTTAATGACTTTTCATCAATCATGATTCTTAAAATAAATTAAAAGTCCACTTTTCGGGCTCTTCTGAGTTCTGAGTAGGAGATAATTTTATGCAAATTTTTTAAACCTTTTATTTTTGTTTAAAAGACCGAAAAAATAAATTGGTTAAAAATTAATACGAGAACGTTTAATAAATCGGTGCTAAATAACACAAATTGACTAGCATGTGATGATATTATGCAAATGTAATTACTAGTCTCGAGAGAGAGAAATTGATCCGTAGCTGCTAATGGTTGTGTGGTGCCTTAGAAGCCTTTTTTCTAAGTATTTGAAATGAATTAAATGGTTTGGAAGAAAGGCTTCAATAGATCTGATCAAAATGATCAGTTGATCAGTTCCACATCCATGAAATCAATAAGAATATTAAAGAATCTAATTTTGAAACATTATTTTAGGATTAATCTAGTTTTAAGAATGTTAAGTTTTAAAATTTTAAAACTTTTGAATCAATTTTGGATCTTTAACCATAATCAAGGCTCCTAACCTGTCAGAATTATCAAGAATGAACAACAATTATTTGAATCAGTTCCAAGATCCTTACTCATTACCTTTTCCAGTCAATGTACTGATCAGTGTACAAAAAAATCTCAAAAATAATCCAATAATTCTTAAATCCCGAAAAAATCTTTTCATTTAACTAGCAAACCTCTAATTAATATCGTTAGATCTGAAAATGTCTAAAATATCAATGACGCCAATCGTCTCATACCAATCAGCACTCAATCAACTGTTTAACAACTCAACGTCAGTATAGTTTTCGGTATCAAAGATTTCCTCATCTGACGATTTATTCTGCAAATGTTTTTGACAGAAAAAAAAATCAATGATGAAAATCGTTGATGTGCTGTTTGTTATTTTAACAGAAAATTTTCTTGTTTTATTGTTACTGGGAAAAGGAAAACTCAAGTTTATTTTTTTGCGCATTGAAATGCTTCAAAATTTTGTTCATTTAACTTTCATTAATTTAATTAAAAATTTCATTAACTTCCTTCCTTTAAAGAAATTGTAATTATCTTTTTTTGAACCCCATTATTTTGCTTCCGTTAGATGACATGGGATATGACTTTAGTTTTTAATGTTTTTTGAGGAAAAAAACTTGTCGAATTTTCTTTGAGAATTTCTCAGTTTATACTTTTTTTTCAATTTTGTAATAATAACCTGCTGTGGAGCTTCCTGATTTTCATGAACAAGGTTCTTGATTTCTATTTTACTAAACTAAACTGAATCTACAGGAATAAAAGAAACCATTACATTCTATATTTATGAACGACTTTAAATCAATTTCAATTTGTGTCGATCAGGTTTAAGCCGTAATAGCTAGGAATTCATGAACTCCCAAAAAGCAAATTTCCATTAACATCCAAAACAAATACTTCTAGAAGAATTTGGAACTTAAAATTCAAACAAAATATTGCATAAGTCATTTAAAATAATTTTATAGCCACCGAAACAATAAATTAAAATTTCATGAACATTTGTCGTCAAACAAAAGATGCAAAGCGACCCGATAAGGAAGCCCATTGTCTCTGTTCAATGAAAATCTAAATCCATCAATTAACAACTTTATGGACAAGAAATTATTCTTAGCAACAGTTCTAGAATTTGAAAATAAAGCTGTCACACAAAGGAATGAAATGAGATTCATAATTTTAATTTTTTTGGGAAGGCTGTTATGTAATAACAGGAAACTGAATGTGTTTTATGTCTTAAATTAAAAAATCCAACTGTGTATAGAAATGAGAAATGAAAGAGCTGAAAAGTTTATCTCTGGGATGTGACAGGAAATTGATTGAAGGTGGATTCTTTTTGACATGTTCTATGTAACGTTTTTTTTTTGTAATGTTGGGGATGCATGAAATGAAACAAATGGTTGAGTTTGGTTGCTTTTGTGAGATTGAGTAGGGCTTCAGAGGTTTTTATGCTCGGGTATGAAAATTTAAAATTAACGATTTCAAATTCATTTGAGATTTTAATAATATTTATCATAGTTTCTTGCCCCTTTTCATGCAAACTTCCACTTAAATTCGGACAATAAACATGACATTTTTATATGCAAGAACAACTTAGGGGCCGTTCACTTATGACGTCCAGGGGGGGTCAGCAAGAAAAGAAAAATAGAAATTCCAGGAAATCCATTGCTCTTTTTTGAAAAATGACCGTTAATTTTGAACGTCATAAGTGAACGACCCCTTAATAAATTCCTAAAGATACAAAAGCACTTCGTACAACCACAAAACGTTTGACTTTGAACCTGCACAAAACTGTCGATTTTTTTACTAAAAGAAAGTATCGAATTGTCGGAATCTTGTGAAACAACAGGAAGAAACATAAATCCAATAAAACAATAATCCCTAAAAAACAGAAGTTTCGGATAGCTCAAGGCGGTTGACATTTTTTTTGGCAAAATATCATACCCATCTCTCTTTCTGCTGTTTCTGTTGCTACACATGTTTTCAATTACCCATAAAAGAAGAAATGAAACCTTATTGTGGCTTTAATTCATTAAAAAATAAGAGATAAGAAACTGAAATAAATATCGTTAGAATTTATGAGTGAACGATATTGCAAAACATAAAGCAGAACAGAAAGAAATATCAAATTCTCTTGTAACAGGGCGGAGATCAGTTTTCGGTCAAATGGCAAAAACACAAAATTATTATTTAAATATTAATTCCTCTTTTTCTTCAAACAGACATTGAACATTTATCACAACAACTAATGGCACGACTGGCAAATCCACCATCGGAAAGTGCAACGATATTCATTGACGATCCATCATCAAGAAATAACTGCTTGGGACCGAGACAAATTGAAGTACGTTGTGTTTATTTAGAAGATCTTATAGGTAAGATTTTGTGGTATTGTGGATGCTAACTCATTTCTCATACTTTTTATTTGGAAAATCACTAAATTCATAAAAATTCGGTCTTGATTTCTGTCAAATGCATGCGATATCGTATTTTATCTGTTTTATGTCTGTGTTTTGAGATGTTTTAAGAATGTTAATTCAAGTTATATTTGAAATTCTCAATTGTTTGTTATTTTGGTGATTCTGTACTTGATATTAATGAATAATGAGGCCAAATACTAAGAAGAAAGCTAGTGTATTCACTACTCATAGTCATCTTCTTAGTATTTCAATTTACGACACTATTTTCCTCGTATTAAATCTCAGAGTAAACCGCAGGAAATAAGATTGAAAGAATAATAGCCTGGTGGGTGTTGTATCATAAATACTTCTTGTAAACAGGGTCAGTAGCATTCCTAATTAATAAATCGACTTACGATTTACTCCAAAAAAAAAATTAATTAATTTCTTGTTGAAATTTCAAAACACAAAAATTCACATGAAAAATATCATTTTAAACACCATAAATTGATGCCTTACTGAGAATTTTATTTGCAGTTCATATTTCTCATTTAACACATTTAATTTACGTTATACTATCTGGCTAATGGAACTGTCAAGTAATGTGCGAGAATAAAAGATTAACAATTTTACTTCTCACATCTTCTTTCTGATCAGTCTCAATTGCGTCCAAAAATACAGACGCTGTCTAATAACAATAACATTGAAAAATCAGCTTTTTTTGCTCATTGTCATAATTTAGTCACGTAAGAAGTCGTCTGCATGCTAAGCATAAAGTTTTATTTCTGTTTTTTTTTGCTTAATTTCTTCTTCCTTACGTAATGGAATTCTGCTTGAATATGGAAAATATTTGGCAAATGGATGGATTTTTATGAATTGTAATTTTCCATAATTTTTTAATGCCCATTTTGTGAAATTATTGAGGAACTTTAAAAATTAATTCTGCATGCGACTTATGTTAAATGTAAAAGTTATATTTTTGATTTATTACCCTTACGATAGTTTCATAAGGCACAAGATTTATTTTGTTTTGGTTCATAGTTGAAGATAGTCTAATCACGTCTTCCTTCTTTTTTTAAAAAACTTTCATTGCAGCTGGAAAGGAGTCATTAAAATTAGATCCAAAAGGAAGTGTTCGAGTGTCAAATAATCAAGCTGGAAATGTATACATAGAAGATAATGAGAAACGTCATGTCATTGTCGGCCACAAGCTCATTTAAGTGATCATCTACAATGTAGTGACTTAACACATCACTTTCCATACATGCATTGATTTATGTAAGAAAATGTTGATGCCAGTCAAAAGTCAAATGTAATTAAAAGAGAAAGAAAATCGAGAGATGCAAACAACCATTCGAATGCATCTGTATGTATAGAGCATGTGAATAATGTACATGTGTCTCAACTCGACACATTACAAACAAAACAGATGGTGGCAATAGAACTAAATGGCAATAAAACAAATTTTTTTACGAAATATACACAAAAATAATATACTCAACATGACAAGCCTGTGTACGAAGCAAGATGCGCATGCAAGAAATAAATGAAAAATCGCATCAAATCATGTAAAATATTCTTCATTGCATTCAAGTAGCTAGTAGCTGTAAATATAGAGATACGATCATTATGCAAAAAAAAGCACCGAGTGTAGTTTCTAATCAGATGATGAAAAATTTCATTCATAAAATATTTAATTGAGAGAAAGATTTATGTTCATTTTGCGGTTGTACAATAAATGCTGAGAGAAATGTAAAATGTGAAATTTTTTTCTTTATGAATTATAGGATTTATAGACACGACAAATTCTAAACACTAAAATGAGATGCAAAACTTAAATAATAAATTAAATCTATATAAATTAAATTAGACATTTTTTTATTATTCCCAATTAATTTGTCTTGTTTGATCGTAAAAAATGAGAAGCTTGTTAAGCATTAATTTTCAGGTTATGCCGTTAAAACTTTTGAGGTATTGGGTGTCATTTTATGTTTCTGATGAAAACTATTTAAGGAATTTTTATGAATTATATTAAAAATTAATAAATGTTTATGGACATTTTATGGTTCATTATTCGTCTGTCTGTTTATTACTGCACGTATATGTTACTTGTTGAATTGGAATTTTTTCGCTGTGATGAATTGTTAAGGTAAGATCCTGGGTAAGGTTAAAATTTTTATTAAACTGTTTGAGATTAACTTTCATTAAGTTGACTGAATGTTCAGCAATGATTCAGTCAGAGGCGAAACCAGGCGAAAGATTTCATATACCATTGGCTTTGCCCTTGAATTCAAATTCAGTAGCAAAGCATAGCATTAGTGCTGTATACAGTTAAACATTTTTTACCATCCTGAGCCTTTACTTCTTTTCTCTTGCTACATCACTGTTAAGATTTGACACCAAATTAGCAATAAGTCATGGACATCTTTACATTATTTTTCAGTTAAGTTTTATGCATGTTACATCTGCACACTTGCAAGTAATTTTTCTCGACCTACCACAGATATTGGATGTCTTTTAGATGTACATTCAGTAGTGATACATTACCGAAAATTAAACATGTGGTCCTCGAATTCGCATAATTTTTTGGGACCTGAAAAATCTTTTAAAAATCTCTAGAAGCACGCTGCAGTGTTCTAGCTTCTACGATGTCCCACCATTCAATGGAATTAGTATAAATCAATCTTAATCAACAAAGAACTATAATCAACTAGTTCAGTGATTGGAAATAAGAAGAAAATCAAGCTCTGAAATGTATAATTTGCGGATTAGGGTAAGACGCATGCATTTAATTATTTTAAAATATATAAAAATCAAAAAATGTAGTCACGTATCATTTGGGATCTTTTATAAAAGAGTATTGTAGATAGAACTCCATCAAAATTAATGCTTAAAATAACAACAAATATCAAAATATTAATTTTTCAAGTTGATTTTTACCAATTTCTCATCAAAATTATAGCCTTTTCCTTCCTTTAAAATAAATCTTACAGTTCTATAGGTTCAAAAAACAACTTGTCAAGAAAATAACATTTGATTTGACTCTTTGATACCTGATTATCAAGATTATATTCTCAAAACATCCTCAACAAAATTCTAAATTCAAATGTTTTTCATACAAAATTTATAAAAATCTTAGCTAAGCCATAAAGCTCCACTCATTAATTATATGACGGTCAGTTCTAATTTCTTAGATTTCAAAATATTTTGCTTTTACATTTTCTCTCCAAGTCACATCAAGTCATCCGTCAACAGCAGCAATAAAAACTTCTAAACATATATTTTTTTATTACGACAATAAAATTTTCAAAAAATTATAAATTTGCATCAAAATCTACCAAAACAAAAATTTATCTACTGAGAAGTTCTATGGGTGGTCATGATGGATCCACCTTTTTATGCAAAATTCATGTTAATTTTTAATTTATCGACATCAAATTTGTATGATCACGAAGAAAATTGTGTGCATGTAAATCAGACTTTGCGACAATAAATTTTATTTACTGATTTCATATTAATTTCTCTGTCTTCAAGTCTGCAGACGTGAATGAAATTAAAAGAAATCAGATTGATTATAATGAAATGAGTAAGTAAGTCGGTTAGTTTCCAAAGGGGTTGGCTATCAATGACGTCTGATATTTCAAATCTTTTTAATTCTTGTTAAGCTATGCGATAAATACTAGAGCTTTACTCAGTGTCATGTACACAGTTTGAGAACCACTGGCTTAACAGGACTGCTCAATAAATTACATCATTTATGAACAGCCCGCCAAAAAACAAAACTGTTGAACATTCAATTTGCAAAAAAATAAATGTTTGCCCACGCATTGGACATGTGAAAAGTATTTAGTGCCTATTAGTGGAGTCAGGTCTAATAAATTCAAACGATAATCGACAAATTTTTGGCTTCGATTTGTTGCTGTGAGGCATTCAACGTCAAACGCTCGATTTGATTTTTTTTTCATATTATTTTCATTTTTTTTTATTGGAACTACGCGCATTGAATTTTTAATTGCTTTTACTTAGTTTTAGGACTTATTTCCATTAAAGTCGAGAAAATGTAAGAAGGGGCTTTAGCAGATGCCACGAATACTTTCATTTGATTTTTATAGATCATTATTAAAGGCTTTATTACATCGATGAATGCTGTCGTAAATTTCCTACGAAGTACGATACTTGAGCATTATTTAGAAATTCACGAAATGCCATTGTGAATGGTTTAAAATTAGAATAATTCAAGCATTTCAATAATTTATTCATTACGGTTTATTCCTCTGTCTCTCCATCGTTTTATTTAATTTCTGTTGTTGTGCTAAAATGAATTGGAACAACTTTGTAAGGTGTGTCGCCACTTGTTGAAATATGTTGTGGATTTGACATTGCGATTAGATCTTTTTTTTTGCGGACGTCTTTATTGTAAATGCTTAATCGAATTGGATTCATAATGAGGATTTGCATAATAAAGTCTTAAATTAGATAAATGAATACTCAAATAGGATTACAGTTTTTTGGCGGGGTTTTTTTGGAGATTCCAATTTTTTTATGGTTGTGGATTTTTAATTTTAGAAAAGGATTTTTGTGTAGTCAGCTGACTTTTTAATCAGTTTTTGAAAGATTAAATGGAAGAAGTGGCTGGGTGACGAATGTGTTAAGTACCAGGGGTGTAGTCAAATACTGTCAAAACTTCTATTTTTTGGAATTTCTTTAATGCCTACCTAAACCCTTGTTGTCATCGTCATTGCTATCATAGGTTTGATACTTTAGAAAGAATCTTGTCAATTTTCAATCTGTAAGTCTACGTTTTAGTTCTCTTGACTTGTGAACTTATCCTCTCAGGCTACTAGGAACTAATCTAATATAGAAAATCAGGAAATTGCTCTGTGTAACTCTTGAACCATCTCAGACCGTCTAATGTAAATTCTCTAGCTAGCCTCTTATGATCTTAATAATTTAGCAAATATCAAAAAATGTAGCTCTAACTTCATACCAATCAGAAATACATGACAGTAAATTCAAAAGTCCCAGCGAGCAAATTAGCATGAACAAAATTTGATAGGCAATTTAACGACAAACTTTATTTATCATGGGACTGTTCTTAGAAATCCATTGAAACTTCCTAAATATGATACTTATTTATGAGCCTCTTTTATGTAAAATTGATAACTGAGTGAGCAAGGCTGAATATTAAAAGGCATTAAAATTTTTGAAATATTCATGCGAAAGGAAAAGCAATTAATGATGGTCGTATAGATAACACGCAGATTCCATACGCAGCTATGATCATAGAAATAAAAGTAATAAAAAGATTTCAGATTTCTATTAAAAAATAATAATCTGAGGGCGGAAATTTGGGTTCTTATTTCTTAAAATTCATTGTAATGCCACACATAACTTATTTATAGTACGCACAATAAGATTTCATTGTCACTATATCAATTTACTCTCTCCTCCTTTTCCTCTTTCTCTTCTCTTTTATATTTTATTAAGTGTACTTAAACTTGTGTTACACATTCAATGAACCTTTTTTTTTTGTACTTCCAGTGAATGACAATTCTTTATGATGATGAGCACACGACTGCATCTGTTCATATTTCTTTTCATGCATTTATTTTGATCAGTTTCCATTCCGCAAAGAAGAAATTCTCTCAACTTACATCGGCGATGCTTGAATTATTTTCCTAAAACATTTCATGAACGTACGTACGTTTGTGTTTGTAATTTTTTTTTTTTTTTTTTTAAATTAAACTTTTTATTTATTTACATTTAAATTTAAGTATGTACAAAGTTTCTATACATTTTGTTGCTTTTTGTTTTAAGGTTTCAGGCATTCAATTTGCCTTTTGTCTCTTAATTTTGATTTCATTTACGGATTTTACTTTCTTTTGTATTTCATTTGATTTATTCGGTGTTTTGAGATGCAAGACGACTGTTGAAGTTCGCTTGCAACTTTCCGACGTAGTCTTCGATGGACGGTATTTTCGCTTCTGTATGAAGATCGGTGATCCTTTCATATCTTGTTTTATTGAGAACAATTCTCAAGAATTTGTTTTGCAGTACTTGAAGTTTTTGAAGATGGGTTTTTGCCATGCTTCCAAATGCTGGACAACCATATGTGAATATTGGTCTGATGGCTAGCTTGTAGATGAGAAGTTTGTTTCGTACGTCGAGTTGTGAGTTCCTGCTGATGAGCGGATAAAGCTGTCTTAATGCGGTGTGAGCCCTATTGGTCACATACTCCACATGCGGCTTTAATGTCACTCTCTTGTCGATCACCATTCCCAGATATTTAGCTTCTGTTTCCCATTTGATGTTTTCGTTGAGAAATTTGATGTTATTTCCTGGTAGTTGCCTGGAGTGCCTGTTTGTGATGAATAAGGCTTGAGTCTTCTGTTTGTTGAGGTTGATCTTCCATTTGTTCATGTATTGTTGAACTTTTCTTCCTGTGTGCTGTAGATGTGTCACAATATCGGCCGAGTTCTCTGCAGAATGATACAGTGCTGTATCATCTGCGAAAAGACCGATGTTGTTGGTTGTCTCTCTTACAACATCATACGTGAAGATGTTGTAGAGAGTTGGTGAAAGCACTGCTCCTTGTGGCACTCCGAATTTGATTACCTTGATTTCTGAGAACTGACCTTTAATAAAAACTGCGAAAGATCTTTCACTGAGGAAAGATCTTACAGTTTTTATAAGTGGCAGTGGAAATCTCAGTTTGAGCATTTTGTACAAGAGTCCGTTATGCCAGACTCTGTCAAATGCTTTTTCTACATC